ACTTGAATTGAATAATTATATTACATTCTTTTAAAATAAGTACTTATATAGATAGTTGCTTAAAGGAAACTTTTTTATAATCTTAGTTTAAATTATTGGGCAGTATTAATTTAAATTAATTTTGATTAATTAAATTTTTTATTGTTATTATTACTATTATTAAAATAATAAGTTTAATTTTTTTTTTTTTTTTTCAATTTAAGAATGGTATTATTATCATTATTATTATTATTATTATTATTATTGAAATTTTCAAATCAATGCAATAATATTTACTCTGAATTATTTCTCAGCCTCGCAGCTATACAAATTTGTCTTTTCCTATTTCAGTTTTGCACCACTGTGCATGGCATGTCTAGCTGCTTCGATTGGTGGTGCCGCCCGCTGAGCGATGGCCGTCACTCAGCTGCTTGTCTTGAAATCAAAACTGTAGCAAAGTGGCTCACAGAATAATACGCCTAGGCATAGCAGAGATGCCGACGCCAACGTCGCTGGTCCGTGGATGCTGCTGCTGCTGCTGCTGCTGTTGCCGCTGCTGCTGCCGTGGCTGTGGCAAACAATAAAACTGAGTTGCATGCAACGGCAAGTAATTAGTGTTTATATCGGCGTGTTGCAACGCGCTGCAGCAGCTGCCAACTACTCGGAAGAATATCCATATGAAGGATACGCCGCGTACTCGCGCTCGTTCTCGTCCTCGTCCTAATCCTGTTTAGTGTTTCTCTACATATTTGAGTGCTGTGCTGTGCTGGCCAACTGCTGGATTAGATAAAGTCCGTTGCATCGATAAATAGACGCGCAATAATGTTGCACTACATCGCTGCCAGCTGCGCGTTGGTGGCGCTTCTGTGCGCGACGCCAACCTCTGCGGCAATCCACAAGCGTAGCGGAGCCCGTGCTGCCAATACGGTGGCCACTGAGCCAGAGGCGACGCCCACGCAAAAGCCGACGGCAGAGAATACGGATCTGCTGGATAAGCTGAGCTGGAAGTGCGCCAACAATGCCAGCTGCCTGCACGGCGTGGCCAATGGCATTATGTCTTCGTACCGCCGTGGCGAGACGATTAAGCTGGGTCTCTTCGATCTGGTTAAGCTGCCGCCGCTGGACGAGGCGCACAAGCACAAGTGGGGCACTGGGCGCGGTATGTCCAGCTTCATGGACTTCATCAGCGGCAATGCAATTCGAGTGCCCGTGGGCCCGATGGTGTTCAGTGTGCAGCGGGCCGAGGATGACAGCGACTACATTGAAGTGGCGCTGCTGAAGAAGGCGTCGAGTGGCACAGGTAATGGTCCTTGGTGCGTCTGATTGATCTGTACCTAATTGGCAGCATGTGCGGTCACTTAACTCCGATTGGCATCAAAAAAACATGTGCTGCTCAATTGGAGTACATTTTGTTCGGCGTATTTGGGATTAGTTGTTATGCAGCCCACATCCATCAGCCAGTTGGCCTAAGGCGACAGACTGGTTCGTACCTTCGGGCAGCATTTGTCAAATGCTTAACCTTGGCAGGACCTCTGGCGCATATAAATGGCCCCGCGGCCAGTAGGCCTGCTGCTCCAGCAGCCATTATTTATATTCATTAGGTGTGATGCTCGTTGAAACATCAATCATATCAGAACGCTCCAATTCAATCCAGTCCAAACTACTATTATCCCACACCCACCCACACACACACACACACACACACACAAATACACACAGGCAAACACACATCGTGTTACATTAAAGCCATAAAGCTTAAAACGTGTCCTGCTTCCATAAATTTGTACAGGTCGCCTGCAGGGCAACGGCGGCGGTGGCGGCGGACTGCTCGGCGGTGGCGGAGGCGGCGGACTGCTCGGCGGTGGCGGCGGCGGTGGCGGTGGCCTGCTGGGCGGAGGTGACGAGGGCGGCGGTGGCCTGCTCGGTGGACGTCGCCGTCACCAGCATCAGGATAAGAAGCAATTCCAAATGTATATACCCATGTATCTGGCTGCCTCAACCTTTGGCTGGACCATGGTGGCTGCCAAGGCGGTGGGTTTGCTGACCCTCAAGGCTCTAATCCTGTCGAAAATTGCCTTTGTCGTTGCAGCCATCGTGCTGATCAAGAAACTAATGGACAATGCTAGTGAAAAGTGAGTCGACAGCATCATAATCATCAGCACCTGCCTCAGAGCACCAGCCCAATCTCCATTTTCAGAATGATGTACCAGTTCCCGGAGCACACACCCTACATGATGCCCTACGGCATGGACTACCCCATGCACTCCCCCGATATCTCGCCAGAGATGTTCCCCAGTGCCCTGCATCAACTGGCTGTCGCCGGCGGTAGCCAGATGCCGCATCCAGGCCATCCCGGCCTGGAGAGCATGAGCGCTGAGAGCCACTTGCAGTCACAGGTCTCCAGCGATGGCAGCAACAACACCAATCCGCTGGCCGCCCTCGGCGCGTATGGCGGCCTGGGGCATAAGATCAAACGTGAGGACTCTTGGATAGCGAAGAGTAAGTGCATTGTGTGCGGCGTCATAAAACAGCCTTACCCTTGTTTCAGATAGCCAGGCCCACGTGGCCTCTGCGCTCTGGTAGATCGCCAGGCCAACGCCTCTGGCACACTTCTGGCCAGATCGATGCCAGCACGCTCGCCGTGGCCGCAGCCGTGGCCGAGGCGAGCGTTGAGGCAGACGATGAAGAGGATGGGGATGATTTCTGAGTAGTGTATATACTTTAGCTTTTGCTTTCGCACGGTTGTTGAATGCTTTGTGTTGGGCTGTTTTGGTAATACCCTATAAGAGTACTAGATGATCAGCACTGCACTCTCATTAGGTAAAGGAGTTACTTTGGGAGGTGTTTTCAAGCCCCTAAGCCTTTCCAATTTGTATATATCTTATCGTATGTGTCTAGTTTTAAATGCACTGAGACTGAAGGTTTATAGAGAATGAATCAGGAATTCCATTAGTCTATTACGAAATCTATAAAGAAATCTTCTAGAGAGAAACCGCAAACATCATATGCATTTCTATATTCCTTATATGAACCAATAGCCGGTAAGGCGAAAATAAATTATATACTAGGCTGATTTAATAGATAGTTAGTTAGTTTAGTGAATGAAGCTGTCAATTACTAGTTCAGTGAATGAATCCTAAAAAATTAAAGATGTGATATATGAGATAAGAATTATGTTTTTTTTTTTTTTTTTTATTGGTTCCTTAATAAAACGGGGCATGGATAGGCCAAACCAAATTATTTATATTATCATATTCTTATCTTCAGCAATCTAAATCTATACCATTTAGTCTGTTAATATTTAGGAGTCGTTTCTTTTTTTTTTTTTTTTTTTTTTTTTCTTTTTATTATGACAATATAAATATAATAAACTGAATATATTTTATAACACCAAGATAGATAACAAGCACAGAATACATAGATTAAAGGAAGAAGCGGTGTAATTATCACAGATAAAACTGAATGGGGTTTTTAATTGATTTAAAGTCGATAGCCGATTCAGTAGGTCTTGATGGTGCTAGGCTTCTGAGTTTTCTTCTAAATCTACTGCGGGAGCTAACAGATCTTTGAGCTGCAGTATTAAGACTCTAAAATCTCGAGTTATTATTTTATATGCTACACATTTTATACAATAATTTCCAGAATCCTGGGATGTTTGAGATCTCATAGAAATATCCAATTCATTAATGTTGCTTATCACAAAGGTGCAGCTTAAACTTTTTCCATACGACACTTTTAATGTAGCTCTAACAGTGAATAAAACAGGCCCCTTTCATATTACATCGGACTAAAATTTGGCTAGCAACCATCACAGATGACAGCACATGAAACTGTAAGCTGAAAATCCACTCACTAATTTCCAAGAATGCCTTTGACGAACGTACCTGAAGTGCAGGAAGCTTTTTGCATCTGCTTTGAGACCATTTTAGGCCAATTTCGGGCTGCAAAATTGCGTGTGACCCCACAACTTGTTGCACGTTCATTCAGTTGGCACAATATTGGAATATGCACTACCTATTGCTTATTAGATTGCAAATTTGTAAGCGGACAGACATTCCACACTGGGCGGAGCACATACCAAAGTTTTCCAATAAGTCGTATCACTGTTTGCAGAAAGTTTCGGTTTGAGCCAAACAAAGTGGGGCTAAAGTCAATGCTGCCGGCGTTTTGTTTCCACTTAATTCAGCAAAGCCGCAATTAAAACAAGCACAAACAAACACACATAGACTATCTCTCTCTCACACATACACAAACACACACACGAAACTCTCTCTCTGGACATATATTAAATCGCTGCATACTTTGCGGCTGCACTCAAAGCAAGCACACAAGCGGGCTATCAAGAGGAGAGTGGAAAGTTTTGGCTAGTGATTGCAAACTTATTTCGTACTTCGATGAACAATTTATGAAACCAACTAGAAAGTGCTTGTCAAGTGAGCATTGGTACTGATAAGTGTATTCGTTGCAGCCACGGCGGCCCGACGACCCCTCATCTACAACTACGTGCAGCCGCAGTTGCCCTTCTACCGCCCGTAGGGGCTGGGCTTAGGCCGATTCGTGCAGCTCTTGGCCCCTACCGCAACCAAAGACCGTGGGACGACAGTGTGGAGGAGAAGGTGAGGAGGTTCTGCTGCCATAACAAATGAACATCTGATGCCCGGCAAACGAGGAGTGCTCTAAGCTGCTTAATTAACATAATTAACTTATTTATTTATTGCTCTTTATGTTTATTTATCAAATTGTTTATAGTTTAGAGTTAGGTCTAACACACACACACACTTAGTTGAAAATACCTGAAACTAGCAACCGAAAATGCTACAAAAACTTAAAAAAAAAAAAAAAACGAATTTTAATTAATAAAAATGAAGAGCGAAAATTGTCTCGAAAATTGTAATTCTGTGTATTTTAAATGTATTTTATTTAACGTTGAATATTTAATTAAAATATTTAAATAAATAAATAAATATATGTAAATATAAATATAAATATAAATAAATAAAGTACAAGTAGAGTGAAAGAAAGTAAAGTTCAAGCATTTAAAACGCAATTAAAAAGAAATTACAAAATAAAGTAAGACAGAACGTGAGAGCAAGATAGAATCATGAAAAGAGAAAACGTGATTACAACTATAATGAGAAAAGCGCGGCCCCCACTTTATAAATGCAACAGTAATGAAAAGCTTCGCATTATTTGGTAGTGCAATTATTTGTTTCATAATTGTGTTTTTGTTTTCGTTGTTGTTATTGTTGTTGTTGTTTAGCATTCTCTTATTGCGCCACCTTGTCGGGCTGCTGCGCACTGTAGGCCATCTCCTGCGCCTCCTGGGCCATAATGTGCGCCGGCACCTGGGCCAAGCCCTCCACAAAGCCATCGAGAGCGCGCGCCCATCCTGAGCTGTAGCTGTCGTGATGCGATGGCACCTCCACAATGGTCTTCTTCTGTGAGAGCAGCTTCTTCAGCGATATGATCACGGCCAGCAGCAGCGCTATTTTGGATACAATCAACGCTTTGCCCGCGAGCAGGAAGAGACCCTTCAGCAGGATGGCGCCCACCATGCCCGTCTTGGCCGCCATCATCATTAGGACGGGGCCCATGTTCTTCATTTTGCCGCGCCCCTCCTCCAGCGCCTCGATGGGACGCACCGAGACGCCAAGGTTGAGGCTGCCCTTGGGGCCGCTGCTCAGTACAAAGTCCGCATTGTCCGAGAACTTGTAGCGCAGTGTGCGCGAGCGAACGAAGCGCCACAGCTTGTTGGCTATCAGCAGGCCGTAGGACTCCTCGTCCGAGTCCATGGCGCGGGCCAGCAGCAGCTCGTCCTCGCTGTCGTCTGGTACGTCGGGCACAGCTCTAATTGGAGCGCAATCAAATTAAGAGAGCTTAGTATAGGGAGCTCGCTGCTACGACACTCACCTGTTGCGCGAGACCCGAAAGTTCTCGCTCAAATCAATGCTAGACTTCTTAAAGAGGCGATCCAGAAAGATGACCGTCTTGAGCATACTGCACGAGTGGTTATCGTTCTGGATGCACTTCTCGTTCAGCTTAATCATGGCCTGCTCCTCCTCCTTGCCAACATAATCGCCGGTTATCTGGAATAGAGCATTAATGGCATTAGCCAACGGCTACAACTCAGCAGCAGCTGCTGCCGGCCGATAAAAATATCCAAGCAATAATTATTTGACCCATTTCTTGGCCGAGTGCAAACAAAGGTTTGACATTAATGGGCTGCAGTCCTGCGGCCATGTTTGGAAATTGATAAGATTTCGGGACCGAACGCATGGGCTATCGGCTCAAGCCAGGATATTCGCCAGGATATTCGCAGTGCCTGGACTGGGCAGCGATTTTTCACTCTTATCGCTGGCAGCTGCTTTACTTCCCTTTCCCCCTCTTAGCATGTCGAGGGGGCAAGTGCAAAACTTGTTTGACCTTACCGAGTTGTCACTTCCGTTCTGAGTGGGCGTGGCACGTGCTGTGGCAAGGACAAACGCCATGCCCAGCAGCGTGTAGAAAGTAAATGTTTGCATCTTGTTGTAAATGCTGTCGCTGTTGCTTAGTTAGCTTCTTTGTTATCTTTATTTGTTTCTGTTATTTCACTGTATACAATGTTCGATTTTATGTTTCATAAATGTCCTTGGTACTCGAGCACACACACACACACACACACTTATATACACACGCGCACAGCACTTGGCGGAAGCGTCTACGCTTGGCTCGAATGTCACGTCGACTGTTCAGCGGTTACTGTTGACATCGTCGTCTTATAAGAAAACCTAATGCGAATTTTCCGCCAGCGATTTCGATTTTATATGAAAATCGGCCAAAAGCCACGCAAACACAATGCAGGCCGAAGCCAGCGTCGGCGTCGACGTCGACTTTTGTTTTTGCAGCGTCAAACTAGTCGCAGGCTAAGTGTAAGTGCTGTCTATGTGTGTGTGTGAGTGTGTGTGTGTATTTGTGTGTGTGGAGTGTATTTCTGTCCCAAACTCACAACAAAAGCTGCAAATGTGACTGGGACTTGTTTAGCCAGTTCAAGGAAATTCTAAGCTAGCGCTGTCTATGGCCCCAAGTCAAGCGAAGCACTGAGTCGGCCAATTGACTTTGCTTACGTTCTGCAGCTGCTTTTGCTGACTTTGTTTTTGTTTTCTTTCGTTGGCTTTGCCAAAACAATGCGACTGAAAGTAAACAACAGACCCAATTCCCAACAACAAACAGGCCAATTTTCCCACAGACCCTCGGCAGTGCCACACGAAGCGCTGTGGTCGGGGACTCTGTGGCATGTTGCATGGTAGCGTGAAAACAATTTAGTTTGCATCAATTAAGCCACATGTGATCGGGGCTTTAACCACAGATCTGTATGAGCTCATAACTCAAAGGGAAAGTCGAGCTAGAGCTGCTCACCCACATCCTGCGACAGGTGCATCTTATCAAGTTCAAGTTCAGAACTCAGGCAACAAATGGATGTTTGGCTTCACCTCAACTTTGCACAACAAGGTGGGGCACAATTTATGGCCATAGTGGTCGACTGGTTGTTTTAAGGGTTCGTGCTTGGCCCACTAATTGAATTGAATCAATTTGGCTATCATACGCTAGCTGAATTAATGCACACACAGCAAATTGGCCGACAACCAGCAGCAGCAACAACAAGAGCAACAAATCAAAGAGAGCTGCGAGGCGGCCTAAGTAGGCTAACATGAGCCACAAAACGGCCGCTCCACAAAATGTGGCACGCCACGACGAAAGTGGTTGGCAGTGGGGCGCAGAAACCGCTACACGATCTGGCCATAAGCCGTTGTGCTACTGCTGCTGCGTGGTCCCAAATCAAACCGCACCAAAATCAAAAACATTGCGTCCGCCTGAGTCAGTTGGCTCCCGCCTCTTCCAGCGCTGCACCTCCTGCTCCTTGCCTGCTCCACCTGGCTGCCGTCGGCCCCTGGCAGAGTCATAACAATTTCTCAAGTGCTGCCGCTTTCTATCGAAAAATGTGGTCCACTCGCCTGAACTGACGCTGTCGTCGACGAAACGCCAGTGTTGTCACCAGTCACCAGGCGGTGAGCACAGACGCCGCTGGCCGAGCAGGAGTGGGGGGAGTGTGGACAGCTTTGCGGTTTTGGCATTGACTTTGAACTGCCAACACCATGGTCAAGACCACGCCAAGCGAGGTTTCATTCAGAAAAAGCTCAAGCTGGCAATTAATTTTATATAAATGAAAACAATTCATAAAAGCGCTGCATAGGTAAGAATACCTGTCTTACCTGCCATCTAAACACTACCTTTACGTGGTCGCACAATAATATTTAAACATATTTTTATAGCTCGTAACAAGCATAGGTTTCACAGTTGCAGAAAACGTCTAGAGTTGTTGCCATTTTAATGGAATCAATTAGTCCAGAGAACACAAATCGCCCGAAGCTTCAGCCATTTTCTTCGACCAATTAGGAATTGTTTTCTAATGTAAAATGCAATTCGTACTAGAGTAAATTATATTAGAATTATATATATTCATATTGAATGTGTTAGCTGGAGTGTTTCAAATTGTTATGAATACCTAGAGAAAGGCTCAAACTGTTCAAAAGCAATAAGTAGAGCAATAGGAAGTAATCAATCAAGCTGACTTTAACCTCATAAATAAATATTAAAAAAAAAATATATATATATACATATATTAAAATTGTGGTATCTTACATTCACTCCTTTGCTCACGCTTTAATCTTCCTTAACGAGTATTTATTGCTACAAAGTCCAAGTCAAGTCGAGAAGATTAATGATCCGAATCTGAGGTGGATTTGTGTGACTAAACCCTAAAAATCAAATATGGGTCAGCTATAAATATCGCAGGTAATCAAATAAAGGCAGCCAGTCCTTCAGCTACCTTTGGTAGGGAAAATTGGAAACTCTTATGGTTTCTCTTGTTTATTGTGGCTTCCAGAGGCAAACATTGATGGCGGCCCTCGTTGAAGAAAAGCAAGATTAAACACGCCAGGCCACTTTTCCTTTGCGCTGGCCGTCAATTTCTCGCCTTGGCATTTCATTGCCTTAATTAAATGCTGCATTTTATCTGTGGCAGCTCCAAACTCAGCCACAGCCAATGCGAGCGAAGAGTGCGGCTGCAGGGGCTCAGGTACGGCAGATACACGCGCACATTTGGAGAAACACTGAATTGTGAAATTTTCTATCGCTAATTAGTGCACCCCTTCTATTGGAGCAGCGGCGGGCACGCCCACTCAACCCACTCAGCCCACTGAGTCCAGTCAACCCACTCAAACGACGTTTGCTTTGAACTTAATATTGGACTTTTATTTACAGTTAGAGCAATAAATATTCTTATAGGAATGGCGCGAAAATAAATAACAAAGCGACCTGGTCTAGACCGAAACATCCTTTAACTCTTCTGTGGCGTCGCCTGCGGCTCGGCAGCGATATCCTTGCCGGTGTTGCGGCCATAGTAGCCATTGTAGGCGGCGTCATGCGAATCGCCGAAGCTAATGGAGTTGCCGCCCACCTGGCCCTGGATCGGCTCCTGGCCCTGGTAGCTCTTGCTGTAGTAGTCGCTGTAGGGCTTGGCAAAGGACGGCTCCGGGCGGTAGTAGGGGCCGGGTGCGCCATGGCCGCCATGGCCGCCTTCGTAGTGCTCATGATGGTGATAGTAGGTGGCAGCGCCCACGCCTTGGGGCGTGTACTCGGGGAAAGCGGGCTTGCCGCCAAAAAGGCTGGACAGGCCACCGCCAAAGGCGCCTCCAACACCACCTGGCGGGCGGCAGAGCTTGAAGTAGGCGAACAGGCCCGGCAGAATGATGGCGGCCAGGCCCAGAATCTTCTTCAGACCCGCAATGCCCAGGATGAAGGGCAGGAAGAGCAGCAGCTTCAGCTTGAAGATCTTCAGCACCAGCAGCAGGGGAATAATCATCTTCTTCAACTTCTTGCGAGCTGCAGGACGATAGTCAGAGTTAGTCTACACCGAAAACTAAAGATAAGAGCGAGTCACTTACAGAAGTGTCCAGCGCGCTTGTTCTCAATGACATCCAGTTCGTCGTCAATGTCATTGCCTATGAAGCGCGCCTCGTAGCGGCCGGCTTCGGTGAGCTCCTCGGGCCACTCCAGCTCCAGCGCAGTGGACTTGATGAATCTGCGGCACAGGAAAAAGGATGTGGTCAAACAAGAGCAAAGATACATTATGCATAAGTTGCTAAGTTCCTAAAAAGTTTCTGGCGAGTCAATTAAGAGAGCCGCGACCCACATTAATTAGCAAAAGTTGAAGTCATTTGACTAATTGTCTACCAATTACGACCTACCGTTCGGCACGGCGTAGAGCGTATTTCACCAGCAGATTCCAGTCGTCGTCTTCGGAGCGCGGCTCCTCGGAGTACTCGAAGGGTTCCTGCAGCAGCGAGCGCTGCTGTGTCTCAGGCAGCCGCACGACGCGCGCAAAGTCCGAGAGACTGTTGGGGGGAGGCAAGAGGTGAGCACGAATCGTTTTTAATGATGGGGGACAATCCCTACCGATACTGATCCTTGTAGAAAATCTCATCGAACGTGTTGAGCGCCTGCGTCTTGAAACACTCGGCCAGGTCGCCGCTCAAGCAGTTGCTGTTGGTGCGCGCCAAGTAGGGATCGTTGTCGTTGCCCAAGCCGAAGATGCTCAAAATCGAGGAGCGACCACGCTCCTCGCCCGGCTGCGCCACCTGCTGTGGCTGCTGCTGGAACTGCAGCGTCTGTTGTTGTTGTTGTGGTTGCTGTTGCTGCGACTGCGGCGCATAGATCTGTTGGATGTTGTTGGACGACTGCTGGTCGGGCAATCGCAGCCCCTCGGCGGCCACGAGGCTGATGCCGCAGCAAGACACGATGGTCAGCAAGGTGAGCGCTCTCATTGTCATGGCTAAAAGACAGAAAATTTAAGGCGCATTAGCCGAATGGCCCATAAAAACCACATAAAAAGCACAAAACAAAAAGTGAAAAAAACAAAAACACTTTTCGGCCAATTGAGTCGGGACCGGTCAATCGATGTTTTCTCTGCGATTGGTTTGACGGCTCTGAAGCTGCGCGCTGCAAGCGGAGCTCAGCTGGGCTTGAGACAAAAGTTATGAGTTATAAGTGTGTGTGCGTATGGGTGTGTATGTGTGTGTGTGTGTGTGATGCTTAGCTCTTTTTTGGCAACTTTAATGCTCATTGTTTGTTTAGTGGTCGAGCTGATTGGCTTTTAGCTAGCGTGGGCTCGGCTCCCGGCTCCCAACTGACACAGTTTGAAGAAGCGGCCGGTGTATCGCGTTTGTCACGGCCATTGGCGAAGCTTTTGGCAGCCGCAGTCGGGGCCCAACTTTTGCAGTTATTTGCGCACACGTAATAACTCTCACTTTCCAGCAAAGCGCTGCGTTTACAGCTAACAGTGCCCGCGGTGCTCGCTCGAGCCGATAGGCGAGCTTTCTGTGGCTTTGGCGCCGAGCATTAACCAAAATTTTGAACTCTGCTTACGGCCCAAAGTGAAATGCAATCAAACCGGTTTTTATTTATTTTTTGTTAGGTTGAGTTTGCCTTTTTTGTGGGTTATTTTTGTGGCCACTTAACCCTTTGTCAGCAATGAGCTGGCCAAAGCCACTGCACGTAATTGAAATTGTGTTAAATTTACAGAGCGCAAGGCTAATCGACTATAAACGGGAAAAGCTGGATCGATTTAACGAAAACTCAATGCTCTTCAATATATGTCATTTAGGATAAGATTGAATAGATGGTATATAATATTTTACAGAATGTACTTTCATTGTTATTATTATTATTATTATTATTATTTTATTTTTTTTTTTTTTTAAATTAATATTTTAATAAAACAATCAAAATTTTATATTAAGTAAATTCAAACGAATTATAGTCTCAACTACATTCAAGGCAAAAAGTATTGCCTACTTTCGGGCGGTGGTTTAAAATTATCTATCTCAAATATGGACTGAGAGTTACTTCTTTTAATTTTCAATAAAATATGTCTTATGTTATTCAAGCTATACATGTTTCATTTTCTTTTAGGTCAGCGTGTCAGAAAAGTCCGTGGTAAATAAATAAATAAAAAAAAAGACCAAAATCAAACCAAAACTTAATAAGGGCTATAAAATAAATTGCTCTCTGATCCAGGTATGACTGGAAATTAAGCAAAAATGTGCACTGTAAAAATATGTAGCACAAAGCAAGATTTATATTATGTGCTGAGTCCACAAGAATGCTGCAGAGCATACATAATGGAAAATGTTGTTGCATTTGCGAGCAGTTGCTCGTTTACTTTTCATTCGTTTGACAGCGAATCGATCGATTCCCTATTATGCCTCAATACGTCGACGGAAGTATCCTGTCGTGCTACCGTTCGGGCGGGAGAAATTTGCAGTTTAATCAATGCACGCCAGCACAAAGGAAAGCGATTGAATAGCATTTGATGCCTGGAAACGCCAAACAAGAAACTGTGCAACGTACGCTGCATTATGGCAAATGGCAATATTTATAGCAACATTAATGGGGGCGCATAAAAGTAGGCAACGGAAACTTGAAATATTCTGCACCAGCCGCAAAGTATGCAGCACTTTTTGCGTTATGACCAAACTAATGACCCCCATTGGGATGGGGTATGGTAGTAAATCTGTATTTGATTTAATGTGTGTTTTGAATAAATTAAATGGCTGTTGCCATTAAATTTAAATTAAGTACCTCTCACACAAGCTTCCAACTAATTTCTATAAATGATTGCGAAATTGAAAGCAAATATTGTGATGGCTCCATTCGCTTGGCTTTCGGATTAGCATCAACCATTGAAGGTCAATGAAATGTTGTAGACATCAGCGTTGCCAAAACATATGCAAATAGCAGATGTTGCTCAATTTATTTGTAATCATGCGTTCAGCTTGAAAACCGAGATACCTATATGGGAATGTTTATGAATCGCCTTTTGTAGCACACACTCTTGATGTTTACTTTATGCCTTTTTCCATGTCACTTTTCTTTCCTTTTTGCTTTTTCTTTCGCATATTGCATAACACGTCGCACTTCATTTCACTTCACTTTTGTTTTGTTTTCCGTTGTGGTCTGCTTTACCTTTTGCTGCTTCCTATAAACACTTGGGTTTGTTGGCTTTATCCTTAACGGCTTACTAGAGTCTTCAGACCCGGTGTTTTAGCTGGCTCTGAAGCGACTGTGCTGCTGCCGTTGCTCGGCAAAGATTTTATATGAAATGCGAGAAGTGTCGAGAAAGAGGTGCAAGCAAAAACGTTGCTTTTTTTGTGCCTCAACTCACAAACACAAACACAAACGCAACGAAACAATGGGCCAGAGCAGAGCTGAGGCCCAGACACCAGCGCAAATCTACAATGCGGATAGCTGAGAGGCACTCGCCCGATCAAGCGGCCATTCATGATGATGTTAAAGAGCCGAAGACGTCAACACGCTCGCACTTGCGGTAGGTTGGGGTTTGGCTAAGCGATGTAGGTCTGTGGGCTGCGGCGTCAACGACTTCGTCGTCCGGCTGGCCGCGCGTCGCGAGCGCCTTGAGAAATCCCCAAAATTATTGTGGCGCACGTCGAGGCCTTGGGTCAAATTCGAGTTTAATTTCAAGAGACGATGACTCACCATGCGGATCAGCGGGAAAACGTACGTCACAGCCAGAGCCACAGATTATGTAATGCTGAGCACAGGTAATAATCACTTTTACTGTTCGAGCCAGCTTGCGACTTGGTTGCGACTGAGTCCCGCCCACAAAACAGGGGGACAGCGCTCAATTTAAAGTCACGGCAAAATGTGAACAAACTGATTGCAGTCACAAAAAAAAGTTGGGATTTACCCGCATGCAGCTGAGGCTGCAACGTACCAATCTTTATTTTCAGTTTTTGCGTGCTTCGGCTGCTGTGTGAACCAATTTATGGTTTCAGGAAAGCCCCCGAGAAACCAAAACTCAGATTAAATTGGGAAATTCCCACTTCGGCTGGCGTTTCTGTTCCATGTGCCTTTCTGTTCGCCTCCCGTCAACGAGGGAGTTCTGCAGAGAAAATTACACTTATACGACACAGCGTCTAAGCAGAGCCGGGGCAGTAATTACCATTTGGAGACAAACGCAACTCGAACATTTCCTAGTCTGTGGGCCTGTGACAGTCGTGATGCGGATTGGACAGCTCTGGCAGCTGCCATGTTGCTCAGCTCCACTTGTTATCCAATTAGCCAATGCTCTGGCAAATCGCACATTCCAGAGCTGACAGATATTAAAGAATACTTAAGTGGCAGATCTGTCTACCCGGCCATGAAATCTTCATTGTAAGGTTCATGTGAATCGTGGCTCAAAACATAATATTATTCGCTTCAGTTAATTCAGATTTCATACGAATTCATTGAATAAATAAATACATTTGTAGGTCAGGCAATCAATTTTAAAGCATTTCCATGAAGCCATTCGAAAGCATAAATAGGGCCAGGCATACCCAATACCCAAATGAACACCACTGTAGGTGCTTACCAAGAATTGCGTCTATTGGTTAAGCCAACATTCACACCTATGATACACCACGCCATGAGTGTAGGGTATATTTAGATGTGCAGAACTGTGCTCGCATTGCATGCTAGTTCACCCTTCCAGCATGGCCAGCAAACTCTTTCAAGCGGAAATCAGCTGTCAGGCACATACGACTGCATAAAGGGCAAAAGCTCAAGAACAAAAGAAAATTGCAAAAGTATGTTTAGTGTGGTATAATAAACAAGTGTTTCTATGTATATATTCTATATTTTATTATACAAGAGAAGCTCTTAAGGAGTGAAAAATGAAGAGAAAGAGATGAAGATACAAATGAAAACAGTGTGTGTAAACTTAATCTATTCAATAGAATGAAATTATAATATATAATGCATTCAGAAGGCCTAGCATATTCGACTAACTTGCATGGCAGTGAGAGTTGCTTTCATAAAAACAAATTAAACTTGGTTTTCGTTTCGAGTAATAGACATAATGCACACACATACACAAGTAGAATACACACGCACACTCAGCCAAAGATACATTTACAGCGAGGGTGGTGTTAATAAAAATGACTCTTGGGGCAGACTGGCAGATTGTTAAACAAATTAGTTTTTTCTCATCAGTTTTCGAAAAATCGTTGATACTCGCTTGTTTTTGGCTGATGTACAAATGTTTTGAAAACTAGTTTATGACACAGACGTCTGTCCATCCATATAACTTTACGGCTTTGAAGTTGAATGAATGATAAAAAAAAAAAAAAAAAAAAAAAAAAAAACAAAAGTTTGAAAACATTTGCCAATCCTTTTTGTCTTTTCAATATGCGGGTAGATTTTCAAAAATACGAGAATATATAATAAAATAATAATTATGTCATGTATGAATGTTTTCTTTTTGTTATATAAAATCCAAAAGACTCACAAAATGTTTGCTTATTAATTATTTTGCAGTTTTCTCGTTAAATATTTGTAAACAATATTTACATTTCGTTTAGGGTTCACAATTTTCTATTAATACTTACATTTCTCTCGTTTCTGTCCCATTTTTCATGAGACCCCTGGGAAAAGTCCTAAGCTATAGCTCAATGAAAATCTTGTTGTCCGCTTTATACTACAGATTAATTTTTATTCATTTTGTATAGGAGCTTAAACAGCTTAAAGCAATTCAGGCTGACTAATTGGATATAACAATATTAAATAAATAAATAAATAAATAAATAAGTATATATATAGTGTATACAAATACATAAATTATATAGCATATTCAATAAATTAATCCGTTAAACAACTCAACTAAATGGCTAAAGATAACAGCAACTGCTTTGCGTGTTAATTAAACTATTCAACATAAAAATTCTCTATTTACAGCACTCTAATTAAAGCCCCGAAACACACAACCCACCGTCAGCTGACAACATATTCAAGGTACATAAATATTTATACAAGTATTTATGTCTATGCGAAGCATGTTGTATATGTGTATAGATAAATAATGTATAGTCGCTCATATGCATTCATGTATGGCTAGGCTAAAGTTAAATTTGCATAATTACAGCTACAGGCATCAACACCTGGGGTGTCCAGGTCTTGACTCGTGCGAACTTTCACCTTTCGCTCGTCTGGCTCGTCTGCTTGGTCTGGCATCCTGCGTCCTACGCGAGCTTGCGGGCCTCCACCAATTTGTTGATGTCGTTGTATGTGGAGAGCATTGCTGGATTTTCGAAATCCTTGAATTCTTTGCATTTCACGAACGACTGCTCGCAGTCGACGCCATCCTGGCCATCCTTGGCGGCGCGCATGTACTTGAAGAAGCGCAGGATGTCTGGGTTATCGGAGGTCGGCTTGCGCAATTCATTTAGCTCGCTGGCAAATGAATCAGAAAATAATATACAAATTTAACGAGTTTCACACATCGCTTAATGCTGTTTCATTGCATAATA